GGAAAGGGGAAAGGGGAAAGGGGAAAGGGGAAAGGGGAAAGGAAAAGGAAATAAATTCAGAGCCCATAGTGACTTTAAATAAATCCCCAAAGTGCTTTTCCCAAGGAAGTGACCGAGGGTAAAAAAGTGTGGGTATGAAAATCATGGAATTCTGGAATGGTTTGGGTTGGGAGGGACCTTCAAGCTCATCCAGTCCTATGGCAGGGACAATTCCCAGCGTCCCAGGCTGCTCCAGACCCCATCCAGCCCGGCCCTGGGCACTTCCAGGCATCCAGGGGCAGCCCTGGCTTCTCTGGGAAATCCATTCCAGCCCCTCCCAGGGAAGAATTCCTTCCCAATATCCCATCTACATCTCCCCTCTTTCAGCAGAAAGCCATTCCCGCTTTTCCAGCTCATGCACAAATTCCAGAGATTTTATTGTGGCTTCTGTTTTTCCCTTTTTTTCCTTTCTCCAGCTTCAAAAGATGCTGAAAACTCCCAAAGAAAAATTCTTTCCATGTGATCCCAGCATTTTCTCTCTTGGCTGGGACTCTGGATGTGGTTTTGGGTTCAGTGGTGGAGTTTTTTTCATCCTTTATTTTTATTTTTTTTTTATCCCAATTTTTTTTTCACTTTTTATTTCCATCCCTGGGAGAGGCCCTGCAGAATTCCAGACTGGCAGCGAATCCCGAGGAAACCGGAGCGGGACAAAGGCGCAGGAGCCCGGCACAAGTTGGTGCAAGCAAAGAAAACCAGGGAATAAAAAAATTTCCTTTTTCCAAGGTTTCCTAAGGATCCATCCTGACTTTCCGTGTTTCTCTTGGATCCCAGCACGGAAGCTGCAGCCTGCCCGGAGAACGGCAGCAGGGGAAGAGCTGGGCAAGGAAAATCCAGGGATTCTGAGGGTCGAGGTGAGTTACAGGCATCGGGATAAAAGGATCTTGTGGGATCACAGCATTCCCACCCTGCCCAGCAGATTCCTTGGGAGAGGCAGGAATGAAGGGGTTTGGAAGTGCTGGGCTGGAATTTATCCCAATAAAAATTCCCTATCCCGTTATCCACCCCGGACACCCCAGGAGGGGGCTTTTCCCAGCGGGATGGGGATGGATCCCGTGTGGATCCATGGAGGGAGACGGGGCAGGAAGGAGCCGTTTCCTGGAGTCTCCCCAGGCGTGGAAACTTTCAGGGAATTGCGCTCCTCCAGCGCTTTGGAATGTGCCGCTGGCTCCGGGATGGGAGCGCGGCCGGCCGGGATCCAGGCACCGCATCCTGCTGGGAAAATCCCACCCGGGACAACCCCGACGGCTTCTGGCTGAATTCCCAGCACTGGCAAATCCCGGGAAAGCTGCTTTTCCATCGGGAAGGGTGAAGGAGGGATCGATGCCGGCCGCTTCCATCGGCGGGGTTTGTCCTGCGGGAGAAGCTGCCCTGGGAATGGCTTTTACTGTAATTCCTGCTGAATCACCGCCTGCGCCGGCTCGGGAGCCGGGAATTCTGCCAGGGAGCCGCCCAGCCTGGAGCAGGGACAATTCCAGGACACTGCAGGGGTCAGAGCTGCGGGCAGGGACACGGAGAAGGAGAGAGGAAAGAGCTGTTCCCTTGGGAATCGGGAGCATTCTCCTGCTCCCTGTCTATTCCTTCGGGAATCCAGAACCTCCTCCTGCTCCCTGTCCCAGGGCAAGGTGGAACCTTGGGATAAGGAGAAGGGAAAAGGGAAAATCTGTTCCCTCGGGAATCGGGAACATTCTCGTGCTCCTTGTCTGTATTCCCTCGGGAATCAGGAACCTCCTGCTCCCTGTCCCAGGGCAGGGTGGAACCTTGGGATAAAGAGAAGGGAAAAGCTGTTCCCTTGGGAATCAGGAGCATCCTCCTGCTAGGGCAGCGTGGAACTTTGGGAATTTGCAGGAATCCAGGCGCAGCCCCATGGAATTGGGTTAAATCCATCCAATCCCCCTGGTGTGCAGGGATATTTCCTTGGGAATTTCATCTCTTCCCACTCCTGGTGAATTCCTAGAGAATTCCCAGCAGGTGAGCACCCCAGTAATTGCTGCTTAGGGAGGAATTCAGGGAATTACCCCCACTGGAAAAGGGCCCAGGCTAAAAAAGCACCAGAAAATTTAAAATAAACTGGATAATTGGGAAAGGAGCTGCAAATTCCCGGACAAATGTTCACCCAGGCACTGCAAATCCAGATGCAGTTCCATTCCTGGATCTCTCCGTGGCTGGATCCCGGTTTTCCCTCCACTCCTGCCTCTCTCACAGCTCCAGCAGCACTTCCAGCCCCTCTTTTCCACCATCCCAGGGTTGGATAAACTCCCCGGGACAAGGACATCACAACAGGCAGTGGGAATTCCTAACCCACTTCCTTTTTGGGATGCAAAGATTCCTGGGAGATCTCAAATCACTTCTGGCACCGAGCAGTTCCTGAAGGATCTCCGGGATATTTTGTCCGACAGGAGCTGCCGGAGCTCGGCACTGGAATCCAGCAGCGTTTTCCTTGGAAAACGCACAAAATCCTCCAGTGTTTTGGGCTTTTCCACAAGGAGCTGCCCACGAAGAAATTTTAGATCCTCCTGGGGGAGAAAAATTAAACAAATCCTGGAGAAATCCTTTCCAAGAGGAAGCGCAGCGTCCGGACAATCCCAGCCCTGAGGATGCCTCGTTTCCTGCTGCTCCCAATCCAAGGAGCTCCAGAGCCGTGAGGAGCTTGAGGCTGGAGAGAAGATAAAAGGTAAAAAGGCACAACTGGGATATTTTCCCTGCCTGGAACGACGCGGAGCTTCGGGGCTGGCACATCCGTGAGTTTTCCGTCGAGGTTTTGGGTTTCACTGCGGGGTTTTCATCCAGGTTTGTCCCGAATTCAAAGGGGCGGCACCTGGTGTTGTCCATGAATTTAAAGCAAGGATGGTCATGGATTCCTTTTCCAAGTGAAGCCCTAGGAATAACGGGAAGGAAAATATCAGCAGGAATTCAGAGTGTGCCTCAAGGAATCCCGGAATTCCTGAGGTTGGAAAACCCCTCAAGTTCATCCCAGGCTGGTTTTTAGGATTTTCTGCCCTTTTAATCTTCCCATGTTTCCATTCCCGGTTGGAAACTCAAAGACGGCTTTAAAAATTAATGGAAATTATAAAGGATTGAAATACATGGAATTCAAGCCATGAATGCTGGTGGAAAAGGGGGATTGATCCCTCCTTCCACTGGAATGAGGTACAGTTACAAATCCAAAGGTATTTCCAGTTCTGATGGATTTCAGGAAAGAACATTCCCTACTCTCAGAGGGAAAATAATTCTTTTCCTCCCAATAAGAATTTCTTGGATTTCCAGGAAGCTGGAAAGGTGTGACTGACACTTCTTTTGGAGCAGGGAAGAACAGGAAGAAAACATTTCCCAGGAATGCTGCTCCAGTCCCACTCCTGACAGGATTTTCCTCCTTTCCCCCCCACCCCGGCTCATTTTGTTCCCAGGGAAGCAGCTCCAAGGCTGGAAGTTCTCCCTCCTTCCCTCCCTCCGGGTGTCCATGGAATGAAATCCATACAATCCATGAATCCTGGATTTCCAATGAATTCCAGGCCACCCAGCACCCCCTTCCCAACCAATTCCAGGAATTCCAGCTGGTGTAAGAGGAGCCATTCCCAGCCCAGGGTCAGCCCGAGTCCATCTCACTAATTGGACTTTGGAGAAGATCCACGGAGGCATCGATCCAAGAAATCTGTCCTGGATGAGGCTCCACTGCAATCAGTGGAATGACACTAATTACACATGGAATGGGAATGAGTGTCCAATCTCCAGCTCCGATCCTTCCCTGGGAACAGGCCAGTGAGTAGCCAGAGAAAATTCCTCTTCTTTTCACCTGTTCCTGGGGAGGGATTAGAGCTGGTTCTGGGAGAAATCCAGGGAAAAAATGCCTTAGATGTGGGAAATAGAGGAATTTTCTCTGGCTCTTCACTGACATGTTCCTAGGGAAGGATTGGAGCTGATTCTGGGAGAAATACAGGGGAAAAAAATGCCTCAGATGGAGAAAAAAGAGGAATTTCCTCCCAGAACCATCTCCAATCTTCCTTAGGAACAGGTCAGTGAAAATTCCTCTATTTTCGCCATCTGAGACATTTTGTCCTTGGATTTCTCCCAGCATCCAGAACCTTTGGAGCTCACCAGGAGCAGATGAAAATCCATCAAAGATTCCCAAACCCCAGGGTTTGTGCAGAGCAAATCCCACTTTGGTCCAGTTTGGTGCAGCTCTTTGGGTTCCCATTCCACACATGGGAAAATCCAACTGGAAAATACACCCAGGAATTCCGGTTGGAAGGGAATATGGGAATGGATAAACCATGGAAAGAAGTCACCAGCAAGAGGCTGCTGGAGAAGATTTAAAGATAGAAATTTTGATTTCTTTTTGTTTTGTTTTCCTTCTGGGCTTTTCCTCCCCCAAAAATCAGGTTTTGGCTCTATATTTAAATAGAGCCATATTTAAATATTTATTAAATATAATTAATAAATTTAAAAATTCCATATTTTGCCCTTAATTTGGATTTTTTGGGATACTGAGGCACCAAATAAACCATTGCTTTTGCCTTTTCCACAGAAATTTCCCATAGGGGTTGTTCCAAGAGCTTTTCCAGCAGAGTTTCTGCTCCCAGCAGGTTTTATTTGGCTTGTGATTTTTTTTTTGTCCCGTTGTTTTGTTGACCTGGTGTCCCTTGGCAGCTGTCACAGGTAACTCCAGCCAGGAATTGCCTTTTCCGGCGCTCCGAGGGGCACCATTCCCACCCGGAGTCTCCCGGCGCCACTCCAGGATCCGTTAATAATTAACCCCAAGGAAAGCACCAGCCAGGTGGCCCTGATTGGGATCGCCCCGTTAATGGCTTGTGTTCCCTCTCCTCTCCAGCTGCTCCCGAGGATGAGCGCCGTGATCCTGCTGCTCCTGCTTTCTGCCGGGAATGCCGGATCCCAGCCGGACAAGGCTCTGCCCAGGCGGCGCCTCTCGTGCGTCAGGTGCTGCGGGCCCTCGGAGCAGCCCGTGTCCATCTTCTCCCAAAGGTCCGCCAGGATGAGCGGCGATCCCGAATATTCCCTGCCCAAAATCCAGCCCACCATCGACATCACCATCCTCAAAGGTGGGTGTGGCTCACCCCCGGCCTTCTCCTCGCTGCTCTTCCTTGGTCCTTCCCTACAGCGAAACTCAGCCCCAAATTCACAGCGAGGTCAAGGGGTGCCCCAAAGTGCCCAAAATGAGGTCAAGGGGTGCCCAAAATGTGCCCCAAAATCGAGGTCAAGGGGTGCCCAAAATGTGCCCAAAATGAGGTCAAGGGATGCTCAAAATGTGCCCCAAAGTGACAAAATGAGGTCAAGGGGCGCCCAAAATGTGCCCAAAATAAAATCAAAGGGTGCCCCCAAAACATGGTGGTGCCCAAAGGTGCCCAAAACGAGGTCAAGAGGTGCCCAAAACAAGGTCAAAGGGTCCCCAAAATGTGGGGTGCCCAAATATTTCCCAAAGTTAATCCTTCTGGAGATTGGGAAGTTGCTGATATCCGATCAATATTCCCAGATTAATCCTCCTGGGAATTGGGAAGCTGCCAATATCAGATCAGTATCCCTGGGTTAATCCTTCTGAGGATTGGGAAGCTGCTGATATCTGATCAATATTCCCAGATTAATCCTTCTGGGAATTGGGAAGCTGCTGATATCAGATCAATATCCCTGGGTTAATCCTTCTGGGTATTGGGAAAGTGCTGATATTCGATCAATATTCCCAGATTGATTCCTCTGGGAATTGGGAAGCTGCCGATACCTGACCGATATTCCCAGGCTGGGCAAACAAAGCACCAGCAGCTCCTCTGCTGCTCATCTCCAGGAACCTGGGCCTCCCATCCTGGCGTTTCACCCACTTTTCCCTCACCCTGGCAGGCGAGAAGGGCGAGATGGGCGAGCGGGGATTCCCCGGAGCAGCCGGGAAGGCGGGAGAGCGAGGATCCCGCGGCCTGAGTGGCCGGAAGGGCCAGAAGGGCCAGCCCGGCCCCCAGGGCCACTCCTGCAAGCAGCTCTTCGCCGCCTTCTCCGTGGGCCGCCGCAAGCCCCTGCACAGCTCCGACTACTTCCAGCACGTCACCTTCGACACGGAATTCGTCAACCTCTACCAGCACTTCAACATGTTCTCCGGGAAGTTCTTCTGCTACGTTCCGGGGATTTACTACTTCAGCCTCAACGTGCACACCTGGAACTTCAAGGAGACCTACGTGCACCTGATGAGGAACGAGCAGGCGGCGGCCATCCTCTACGCCCAGCCCAGCGACAGGAGCATCATGCAGAGCCAGAGCCTGATGCTGGATCTGCAGGAAGGGGATGAGGTTTGGATCCGGATGTTCAAGAGGGAGCGGGAAAATGCCATTTACAGCGAGGAGTCGGATGTTTACGTCATCTTCAACGGGCACCTGATCAAACCCGCCCTGGAGTAGGAGCTCCTCGGCTCCAGGGCGAAGCTTTGGCTCAACCAGCGGTGTCTTCCCTCTAGAATTCCCTTTGGAATGGTTGTAGCCCTGGAAGAGCTGGTTTTCCACAGCTGTGTGGATCCAAGCCGTGCAAGAATTCCAGAAGGTTCCCGGCTCCCTTTGTGGCTCCTCAGGAACATCCCTGGAGTTTGTCCGATTGACAGCAAAAATGTTCCCTTCTTTCTCTGCATCTCCCGTTCCATTTGGAATATTTGTAGCCCTTGGAATGGTGTTTTTCCCATTCGTTATGGATGGAGGGGACTGTCCCAACTGCACAAGAATTCCAGAAGTTTTCCAGCTCTCTGTGCAACCCCTCAGGAACATCCCTGAAGAGTTGCCAGCTTGGCAGCAAAACTTTCCCTTCTTGCTCCAGATCCCTCATTCCATTTGGAATATCCGTAGCCCTTGGAAGGGTGGTTCTCCAACCCTGTGTGGATGAAGGTGACTGTTCCACCTGCACAAGAATTCCAGAAGGTTCCCAGATCCCTGCAAAGACCCTCAGGAACATTCTGGAAGAGTCTGCCATGTTGACAGCAAAAATTTCGCTTTGCTCTCCTGTCCCATTTGGAATATTTGAAGGGTGGTTTTCCCCCATCCCATGGAGGGAACTCTTCCACCTGCACAAGAATTCCAGAAGATTCCCAGCTCCCTGTAAAGACCCTCAGGAACATCCCCAAAAATTTGCCAAGTTGGCGGCAGAATTTCCCTCCTTTGCTGTGCATGCAAGAAGGAATTATAATAATTAGGATATAATTATGATAAAATAATTATCCCTAAGGACCAGAGTGGTTATCCAGGTGCTATTTAAGGAATTTCATCATTCCCGCAAAAATTTCAGGCTGTGCTCCCCTCTGGACATTCCCATTTTGGAGCACCATAATTTCTGGAAAATGGAGAAAAAAAACTGGAAAGGAAAATTATTTTTTTTTTATTATTTTTATTTTTAAGGATTTGGGATTTTTTTTTCCCCAGAAATTACCATAATGGAGCACCATCATTTCCGGAAAATGAAGGAAAAACTGGAAAGGAAAAGGAGCTTTTCTTCAAACAGTGATTTTTAGGGATTTGGGGTTTTTTCTCCTAAAAAAATCATGGATAGAACCATGGTGCATGCAGCAAAACTCCATCATTTTATCCCATTCCTTCTTTTCCTTTTTCCCAGTCTCTTCTTTGCTTCCCAAACCTTTTGTACAAAGAATCCAGGGAAATTCTTGCCAGGAAAACCTTTCCATGGATCTCACCTCCCCCAGCTTTGGGAAAAGTAGATGAAATAAAGATTTTGCTTTCAGTACCTGGGATTGTTTCTCTCTTTTCCATGAGTTTTTCCATAACTTTTCCACATTCCCTAACTAAAAGCACCACACTGACCCTTGGAAAATCTCTGGGGACAATTTTAGCTCCTTTAATCCAAAGAATTCCCAAAAGGAAGCTGTCACCAACTCCTTTTCCTCTAAATCAATCCCAGACCTTCAAGATCTCCCAATTTTCCTGAAAACAAGGATTTTTAAGTAGAAAATTCCAGATAAAAATGGATCCCAAGCCTTGAAACCTCAACTGTGCTCCTACTTCCTTCAGCCTGCATCCTGAAAGGGAGATCCGGGGAATTTCCATAATTTTCCATCATCTTTTTCCCTCCTTTTCCCACTTCTAAATCCTCCCTTTCCCATCCCTAGGTTGGAGAACAAATTCCCAGCTGGAAGTGCTGCTGGCAGGAGCATTCCCAGATGGTCTGGAATTCCTCACCCATCCAGCAGTTTCCCCACAGTTTTGGCTCATTCCCATCTCCCGTTCCCTGCGCTGACCAAAATGACAATTCAAAAAATCCCTGATTATTGCCAGGGCTGGAAAAATCCCACCCAGAAGGTGCTCGATCCACGGAATTCTGGAGAATTCCCTTTCTCCCTGGAAGCAGCAAAAATCCATCATTTTTATCCCTGAATAAACACATCTCCAGGAGAGATGTTTGGATTTTAGAGCCCTCATGACTCATCCCAGTGCCAGAAGCAGGGAAATCATTAAATCCACATCGATTCCAGGGGCACAACGACCTTTCCAAGCATCCAAAGGGATCCACAGGATCCAAATTATCCCTAATGGCCTAAAAACCGGGAATCTCAACCTGACGAGGTTTTGGGGGGAAAACTGGGATATGTCAAAGCTGAATGTTCCCACTTCCCATATTTTAAATCCCTTTTCCAGGGCTGGACACCCCTTTTGGGAAGGAAATTTCCCTAAAATCCAACTTAAAGCCCCCCTGCTCTGCTTGTTCTGCTCCCTTTATCCCGGGAATGTCGCAATCCCACATTCCCAGCTTCTTCCAGCGTATTTTGGGGATAAAAAGGGAAATTATTAAATCCACATCAATTCCAGGGGCAAAATCCAAAGGATGCCCACAGGATCCTGATGGCCCAAAACCCCCGGGAATCTCAGCCTGTTGAGGTTTTTATTTGGGGAATTAATTGGAATCTCTAAAAGCTGAATATCTAAAAGCTGAAGATTTTCCCATTGACACCTTTCAAAATCCCTTTTCCAAGGCTGGAATCCCTGAAATCCAACTTCAGCCTCCTCCACTGTGTGTCGTTCCTCTCCCTCTATCCCGGGAATGCCACAATCCCTCATTCCCATCTCTTCCCAGCCTATTTTGGGGATAAAGAGCTTGTTTGGGTGTGGTTTCATCCCTCTGGATGGATTTTTCTTGGGAATAACAACAGGCACCCGTGCCTTGGGCAAACCCTTCCCTTCCTCTCTCCAGGAGGAAACTTGGGATTTACGACAGGAACGGCGAGATAACATCGAGGCCGATAAGGAAACCAGGCAACAAATCAGGCTAATGGATTGCCTCTGGATGAGTGGAATGGGATTTAATGACTCCAGCAAGGATCTATCCGCTCCCAAGGATTGGGAGGAAATGCAGGAGATGGGAGGGGAAAATGGGAAAACAAACAGAGAGAGCTTCCAAGCCAGGGAGCAATCCCGGCTAAAAGCTTGGATGGAGACTTTGGCCTTCCACACCCTCCCTGCAGGCTGGGAATGGCAATTCCCAAAGTCAGGACAGGCTGGGAATGGTGATTCCCAAAGCCAGGACAGGTTGGGAATGGCAATTCCCATAGCCAGGACAGGTTGGGAATGGCAATTCCCATAGCCAGGACAGGCTGGGAATGGAGATTCCCTAAACCAGGACAGGTTGGGAATGGAGATTCCCTAAACCAGGACAGGTTGGGAATGGCAATTCCCAAAGCCAGGACAGGCTGGGAATGGAGATTCCCAAAGCCAGGACAGGTTGGGAATGGCAATTCCCAGAGCCAGGACAGGTTGGGAACGGCGATTCCCTAAACCAAGACAGGCCAGGAATGGCGATTCCCTAAACCAGGACAGGTTGGGAACGGCAATTCCCAAAGGGAGGACAGGCTGGGAATGGCAATTCCATAAACCAGAACAGACTGGGAATGGCAAAACCAGGACAGGCTGGGAAAGGAGATTCCCAAAGCCAGGACAGGCCAGGAATGGAGATTCCCTAAACCAGGACAGTCTGGGAATGGCGATTCCCAAAGACTGGACAGGTTAGGAATGGCAATTCCCAAAATCCAGGTGGCAGCACCTGGAAAGGCCAAATCCGTGTGTGCCCTCTGCCCTCAGCAACTTTTCCATACTTAATATTGGGAGATTCCCTGTTCTCTCCCAAGTTTTCCTGTAAAAATCCCTGGGATTCTGATGGGGCAGGACCTTCCTGTGGGAAAATCTCTGGATGTGTGTCCTTGCAGGGCTGGATTTGGCCCCAGCAGAGACGTGGGAAGAGGTTCATCCCCTCAGGAATGGGCAAACAGGGAGGATGAGCTGGATCCGTGGGATGAGGAGGGATTTGCTTCCCTATCCCCAAACCTGTGGATGTTTCCTCCCCGGCTGCCTTTGTATTCCAGCCAAAAGCTGCTGCGGGGATTTGGGCACCCGACAATTCCTGCCAGACATTGGGAATGACAGTCTAATGCTATTTCCAGGGAAAATCACATTAAAATCGGCTCTCTGAGGAATCGCTTCTTCTCTGGATCCTTCTGGAAACAAATCCCTCTCTGCGGGCTCCAGGCTGGAACGCTGCAATCTCAGCCACCCCAAGGCCATTTCAGGAGTGAAATTCCATGTGCAGGAAACTGAGGATTTTCCCACTGGATTTGGGGTTTTGCTGATCCCAAACCCAGCACAGAGCCTGCGAATTCCCAGGGAATCACGTCAGAATCATCTCCCTTTTTCCATGTAAGGAAGAATCCAAACCAATTCCTCCACCAGATCATTTTTCCCTGATTTTCTGTGTTTTCATCCCTTTTAAGTCAGAATTTTTCCGGGATTGAGGAGACACAGGGATGGGCTCAGTGCTCTCAGAGATCTTTTCCCACCTCAGTGATCCCGTGATTCCAGGGATGCAGAACCTTCCATCCCCATTTCCTGGCCCAGCTCAGCTCCAGGTTTCTTTATCAGGTCCGAAATCCACGGATCTGCTTTTCCCCTCCCTGAAAACGTGCTGGAAAAATCCAAGCACCATTGAGTGCCATGAATTAATTCCATGGAAATGCCTCCAATTCCTGTCAGGAGCCAGGCACAGACACGTCGGGAAATAAAATAATTCCAAGTGTGGGATGCGGGGCCGTCAGCCCTGTCTGGCACCCGACATATGGGGCTGGAAAATGTGGAAAAACGGGACAGGGGTGCAAACAGGATGCTCTCATTAATTCTGGGAATGCATAATTAATTAATTACCCTGCCCAGGGGAGCTGCTGTCACCACAGCACCAAGAGCCAGCGCTGCTTCTCTGGGGAAGCGGGAATTGTGCACGGGATTTGTGCTGCCTGGTTCTTGGAAGCGGGAATTGTGCACAGGATTTGTGCTGCCCGGCTCTGTTGTTCCTCCTGGATGTGGGAATTGTGCCCAGGATTGCTGCCCCATCCCTGGAAGTGTCCAAGGCCAGAGCTTGGAGC